GCCAGGTGTTGCATTCCGGATGCAATTTGATTGGTCAAACTATCAGATTTGGAGCAAAACACACTTTATTCATACACTAAAGTTAAATTACAATAAAAGAAAAGAAGAAATTGGAATAACTTAAGTCTACTGGAAAACTTAACAGAATAATAGATCATTGTACTACTAAACAGTAACTAAATTGTTCCAGTATCATAACATCCCATAAACGCACCCCTGACAAAGGCAAATCCAGAAAACTTGATTGTCTGACAAGCAATTCTCCAGTCCAGGAAGACAAACATCAAGAGAAAATTCTGAGAGAGAGGGTAGCAGGGGGAGATGTACTGCAGCTTCCAAACCCAGTTTAAAACTCAGCAACAACTACCGAAAATCAAAACTAAAAATCCTGGTTCTGTGGGAGCTTGACCCCCATTGTTCCAACTGTTTTAAAAAAAAACACACGGCCTCACATGCTGTTTACTTTATGGGCTTTCAATAGACAGCTTTGCATCTGTCTTAAAACCTCTCTTCAATGGAAAAACAACAGGACAAAATACCCCTCTTAAAGCGATAGGATCATCAATCATTTAGGAACTTTCATTACAACTCGAAAGTCAACCTTATTCAAACAAATGCTTTCCCATTTAGGCAGGGCGACACAGTGGCTCAGTGGTTAGCACACCTGCCTCACAGCACCAGGGGTCTGGGTTCAATTCCAGCCAGAGTTTGCATATTCTCCCTGTGCCTTCATGGGTTTCTGCTGTACACTCTAGTCTCCTCCCATAGTCCAAAGATGTGCACATTAGGTGGATTGGCCATGCTAAATGTGGGGTTATAGGGTAGAGGGGTGGCTGAGGGTGGGATGCTCCTCAGAAGGTCATTATGGACCGAATGGTCTTGCTTCCACACTGTAGGGATTCTATGAAATGTACATGCTTATCTAACTACCAGACTTCCATCAAGTAAACCATTTATACACTATTAACCCAACAAGCATGCTTCATATGGCATCAGACGATCACATTTTTACCTCAATTCAAGAAGGTGAAGAATTTGCTGGAAAATTATTCACAGTCTCTACTGCAGTAATGAAGAAGTGTTGGAAATTAGGGCAAGAGCTTTCCTGTCCTGCTAACAGGGTAAAGGAGACCTTAAAAATAGCTTCCCTTAACATGTAGATTGAATTCACTGATGTTACAGAATTAGAGATGTTCCTCTTTACAGATACTCAATTTGATGGCTATGAATGAACTGTTGCTTTAGACTTGACTACCGCAAGGCAGCAGGTAATTCATAAAGAAATAAACAAACTTCAAGTAACAGGTTATAAGTAATTAGGTAGTATTGCAGCATTTTTCTCTTTACGACAGGATCTGAGGCACAGAATCGTATCATTCAGCTCTATTAGTCCATGCCAGTATTTTAGACTGTAAGATGCAAGTGAAGAAACAGACCATTCTGCTCATTGAGTCTGCCCAGGAATCCAGAGAGATCACAACTAACCTAATAATCCTCAAATCCAGTTTCCTGCCTTTTCCCCATACCCCTTACTTCCCTTATTAATTAAAACAAAAATCTCTCTCAGCCTGGAAATACTCTTAACGATGCAGACTCAACAGTTCCGTGCAATAAATTCACAAGCTCACTATTGTCCGATAGAAGAAATTCCTCCTCTTCTCTGTATTAATGGGCATACCCTGAGATTATACCCTCAAATCCTAGACTGTCCCACAAGAGGTTTATGCTCCATTTGAGCCCCCTCCTATCTTTCCTCAACTCAATCTGCCATCATAATCTTCTCTTCTCCATCACAGGCTTGTCCGGTTTTCTGCAAAGGTAAATTGATTTACTTTGACCATTCCTGTGCAGTGAGTTCTGCATCGTTGGTAAAGATGTTTCCTCTGAATTATTTACCTATTGGATTTTTGGTTACCATGTATCCTGATGGTCACTGTAAAGGGTCAAATTATTTTACAGGCCCTTGTTACACAGCAGTAGCATCCCTATCTCTGGGTCAGAGGCTCCAAGTTCAAGTCAAAGAATCATAGAATCCCTGCAGTGCCAATAGAGGCCATTTGCACCAGCCCTCTGAACAGCATCTTACCCAGCCCCCTCATCCCTGTAACCCTGCATTTACCATGGCTAATCGACATAGCCTGCACATCCCTACAAGTCCCACCTGCTCCAAAGCATCGTAACATGTCTAAACAGGTTGATTGAAAAATATCAATGATCAATTGATATGAACAAAGAACAATACAGCGCAGGAACAGGCTCTTCATCCCTCCAAGCCTGTGCTGACACATTTTGCCCTTCCATGCGAAGTAAAAACGCTTGCCTTCATTGGAAGGGGCATTGAGTAAAAGGATAGGCAATTTATGCTGCAGCTTTATATGTGAAATCTGCAAGGCCTAAACCATATTTCAAATGTTAACCAAGAACAGAAAATACTGAATAAGCTCAAGGGAGTATGCAATGAATAGTAAGACACTAGGAAGTTCAGGGGAACAGCAGGATCTTGTGGTGTTTGTCTACTAATCCCTGAAGGAAGCAGGACAGGTTAATGGGGTAGTTATGGCAACGTACAGGACGCTTGCCTTCATCAGTCGTGACATAGATTATAACAGCAGAGAGCTTATGTTGAAACTGTACAGGGCTTTGGTTAGGCGAAGTCGGAGTACTGTGTGCAGTTCTGGTCACCTGACTACGGGAAGGACTGGTTGCATTGGAAAGGGTGCAAAGGAGATTCACCAGGACATTGTCTGGGTTGGAGCATTTCAGCTGCGAACAGAGGCTGGATAAGCTCCGGATGTTTTGTTTTTGGAGAACAGAAGGATGAGGATGGAATGTGATAGAGGTGTATAAGATTGCAGAGAGGGGTAGAATCATTGAGTCAGAGCACGGAAACTGACACTTCAGCCCAACTCATCCATGCCGACCAGATTTTCTAAATTGAACTAGCACTTGCTTGCATTTGGTCTACATCCCTTTAAAGCTTTCCTATCCACGTGCACGCAGATGGGATTAGTTTGGAATGGCATCACTGTCAGCACAGACATGGTGGGCCAGAGGAATGTTCCTGTGCTGTACTTTTCTGTGGTCTTTCAGGCACACGGACAGAGTGAATAGAAAACAGCTGTTCCCCTTAATGGAAGGGACAACAACAAGGGGACATAATTCAAAACTGCAAGGCAGGTTTAAAGGGCATTTGAGGAAAACCTTTTTACTGAGAGTGTGAGGAGGGTCTGGAATGCGCTGTCTGGGAGGGTAGCTTCACAACCTTTATAAAGTATTTGGATGAGCATATCATCTTTGCTCATATGAGCAAAGTGTCATAACTTTCAAGGATATGGGCCCAGTGCAGGATAATGGGACTAGTGTAAATAGTAGTGCATTTTTGGCAGTAAGACTTAGAGTCAGAGAGATATGCAACACAGAAACAGCCCCTTCGGTCCAAATCAATCACACGAAGCAGATATCCTAAATTAATCTAGTCCAATTTGCCAGCATTTGGCCCATATCTCTCCAAACCCTTCCTAATCATGTATCCATTCAGATGCTTTTCAATGTTGTAATTGTACCAGCCTCCACCACCTCCTCTTGTAGCTCATTCCATACATGCACCACCTTCCGCATGAAAAAGTTCCTTCTTAGATCCCTTTTATGTCTTTCTCTTCTCACCTTAAACCTATGTTCTCTAATTTTGGATTCGTGGGAAAATGACCTTGGTTATTCACCTTAATAAAAACCCCTCCTGACTTGATAGGTCAAAGGGTCTCTTACAAAGAATACAGCACAGGAACAGGCCCTTCAGCCCTCCAAGACCATGCTGACACATTTTGCCCTTCCATACGAAAATTGTCTTCACTTACAGGATCCGTATCCCTCTATTCCCTTCCTGTTCATATATTTGTCCATGTGCTTATTGAATGCTGCTATTGTGTCTACTTCCACCACCTCCTCTGGCAGCGTGTTCCAGACACTCACCACCCTTTGTGTGCAAGGCAAGTTTTTCACATCTCTTTTAAACTTCCCTCCCCATCACACCTTGAATGCGTGTCCCCTAGTAATTGACCCCTCCACCCTGGGAAAAATCCTCATACTCTCCACTCTATCTATGCCATTCACAATCTTATAAACTTCTATCAGCTTGCCCCTCAATCTCCTGCTTTCCAGGGGAAACAAATCCAGTCTATCCAAACTTTCTTCATAGCTATAAGTCCCCATACCAGGCAACATCCTGGTAAGCCTTTTCTGTACCCTCTCCAAAGCATCCACTTCCTTCTGGTAGTGAGGTGACCAGAACTGTATGCAATATTCCAAGTGTGGCCTAACTAAAGATCTATAAAGCTGCAGCATAACTTGTCTATCCTTTTACTCAATGCCTCTTCTACACTGTATGCTGATAATTATAGAACCATGTAGATCTCGAAAAGCAAACGCTGTTTCTCTCCACAGGTGCTACCAGACCTGCTGAATTTTTCCAGCACTTTTGTTCTTCTTTCAGACCTCCAACACCAACAATATTTTGCTTTTATTAAAAATAACTAAGACATTACATTATAATTACGTCCATTACACAGAACAGTTTAAAACCCGTTAAACGTTTAGACTGCATTAAGTGAGCTCGTCTCACTGATGAGTGGGGCATTCGAATTAGCTTCAGCAACCCCTGTCTGAAGGCCAGCCGAGAAGAGCTTGCTCCACTCTGGTCAAATAGCTACTAGCCCTCTGATTCACACATGAATGACAGGGCGAGGCGACTGGCAGGCAAAAAGGAAGCATAGCTCAATTGGAACGTCTCTTCCGTTCGTCACCACCCCATCGCGAAATAACCCTTTAAAACGATCTCTGGAGAGTAAATGCAAATTTAACTTCCTCCCTACCGCCGACAGTTAAAGCCAGCGACAAACGTAGGACATGAGCTGAACCAGGCCCTACGTTACTGGCACCCAGTAAGTCAGACTTAAACAGGAAACTACGCTTTGGTGGGTGTACTGTCACCGGCGGCTTCTTACCGAATGAATTCAAGAAATCCGCGATCTTCTTGATGCTGCTGGTGATCACTTCAATGTATTCCCTGTTGGCCCAGTCCTGATGGATCTCCCTCTGAACCGGATCCCCCTGCCCCGCCATAGCCCAAGAAACAAACAAGTTCTCCCTCCCCTCCTCTCTTCTCCTCCCGGACCGGAGAGCCCTGATATTGTAATCGCTGTGTTGATTGGACAGAACAACACAAAACCCAACCATCTAGACAATCCTATTGGTCAAATCCGACCCAAGAACGCGAGTTCCTCGAAGGCTATTGGACAGAAGTATGTCAGGTTGCTACATGGCGCTGGTGGTGGGGGAAAGGTGAGACAAGATTTCCCATTGGCAGAACGTAAACGATGGCACCGCCTTTTCGTGGAAATAAAAATCCCATTGGTCAGTCGATTGGCGAGGCTTTTGATTGGTGGAGATTTTGGAGTGGGTGGGGAAAAGTGGCAAGGGAGAGAACCGTTCAATTGCTCGAAAGGAAGAAAGATATTTGGAGGATTGCTGAAATTATAAGAGGGCGGGGTGACAATCACCATTTGGTTTCAAATTCATTCAGAAAGAGAGAAACAGTAATAGATATGAAGGCAACAAAATATTAAAATACTGATGCTGGAGCTCAGAAATTAAAAAAAAAATCAGAAGTTGTTGGAAAAAGCTCATCCTTGTAGAAACAATGATATCAGATCCAGCCGATTGGTGAAATGTGCAGTCTCTCTCTTTGGAACCTTGTGTTTCCAAAAATGCAGTATCAAAGTTCTAGAATCTTTAGACATCACCTAACGTTCCATCCATTATGACGTCGCTGTCCCGATGTATCGAGTTGTTGTTGCATGGGACATTGACACAGTCGCCTAGTCGGTAACCAGGCAACCGAACGCAATTTTCATGCCTCACCGAATCAAGACATCATATCAGGAGGCTAAGAAGGTGGGACTTGACCAAACAGCCCCTACCTTCCAGGTTTTTTTTTTATCCTGATCCCCTTGGATCGGAAAGGTGAGCGTTTCCGAAAAAAATGTTGTTTCAGGTCAAGACCGGTTCCCATCGAACCATCCTCAAATTCGCAAACCACCGCCCCCCCCATACAAACCCGTCCCCTCACCGGACTACAGGTTTCCACAATCCTAGCACGGCGTCATCTCCCAATCACTTCACCGACCGTCGCGACTTCATTTTAATCAACCTGTCCTAATGTGTATAACACACCCTATGGAGCAGGCAAGACTAGTATGCCAGCTTTCTGACTGGGAAGTAGGGACAATATCAGTGCACCATGAGAGCCCATTCACCAATTTGTGTAATGATTAAACAAGGGGTAAATTTAGACAATTATAAAAATTGGAAAGAGGGCAGAAGCATGGTTGAAACAGATGAACTAGGAATAGGCCATTCCACCCCTGAAGCAAGCTTCACCATTTTATGAGGTTATGGCTGATGTGATTGAGATCTCAACTTTCCTGTCTATCTTTTCACTCCCTGCTTAGTCAAGAATTTATCTAAATCAGCCTTAAAAATAAAATCAGAGAGCCTTGGGAAGAGAGTTCCCAGGCTGTCAACCTTATGAGAAAGCATTTTTCTCTTCATCTGTATTTTAACTAAGAGACCTGTTTTAAACTGCAACCCATCATCTGGACTGTCCCAAATTGGGAAACATCTGTTCGGCATCCATCAGCATATGTTTCAATAAGATCACTTCTCATTCTTCCAAACTCCAATGGCCACAGACTTAGCCTGTACAATATTTCTTCAAAGTAACTTCCCTCCACTTCATTCCAAGAACTTTCTCTGCACTGCTTCTAATGCAAATCATGTTTTGTTTTCATTAGTAGGGAGACCAAAATTGTACACAGAACTCTAAATGTGGTCTCACCAGCACTCTATACTGTAGCAAACTTTTCATACATTTATATTCCATTCCCCTTGCAATTAGCAAAAGAAAATGTTCAATTTGCCTTTTGAATCACATAATGTAGCTGCATTATATAGAAAGGATGTGATGCATTGGAGGAGCTGCAGAGAAGATTCACCAGGATGTTGCCTGGGATGGAGCAGTTTAGCCACGTAGAGGCTGGATGAGCTCAGGTTGTTTAAGAAGATTGAGGGAAGACCTGATTGAGGTGATAACACAGTGTGGAGCTGGAGGAACACAGCAGGCCTGGCAGCATCAGAGGAACAGGAAATTTAACATTTCGGGTCAGGACCCTTCTTCAGGGTGTATTGGATTACGAGGGCTATGGACAGATTGGATAGGAAGCAGCTGTTCCCCTTTGTTGAAGGGACATAACAAGGGGGCTTTATTTAAAAGGTGAAGGAGAAGAGTCTGAGAGGGAATTTGATGAAAAATCTTTTCAGCTAGAGGATGGTAGGAACCTGGAATGCACTGCCTGGGAGGGCCGTAGAGGTAGGAAACCTTGCAATCTTTAAAACATTTGTGGATGAGCATTTGAAATGCCTTAACATTCAAGGCTATGGGCCAAGTACTGGAAAGTGGGATTGGTGTCAACAGTTTGGTGCAGACTTGATGGGCTGAAGGGCCTCTTCTGTACTGTATGAGATTATGACTGAATGTTGTGATTCTTGTACCAAGAGACCCTTATTCCTCTATACTGTAGAGGTCTGCAATCTATCTCCATTTAAATAATGTTATGTTTTTATACGTGAGTTTAAACTAAACCTGCCAAGTTTTTGCCCTTCACCTATTTATATCCCTCTGCAGACTCCTTATGTCCTATTCACGACTTATGTTCCTATGTGAAAGAAGCTTGTATTTAATACAGTGCCTTTCACCAACTCTGGCATCAAAAGCTGGTTATACAGTCAATGATATACTTTTTGAAGTGTAGTCACTGTTCTACTGCAGCTAATTAGTGAAAAATATGCTTCATCAAATAATGTAATAATGCACAAGATACCTATTTTGGTGATGCTGATTGCAGGATAAATATTGGCCTGGACTCTGGGAATAACTCTCCAAAACAGTGGATTTGACCTTTTATAAACAGGCAAATGAGGACTTGTTTCAATATCTCATATAAAAGTTACTCCAGCTGATGGTGCAGCACCCCCTGGAATGCCAGCACCATTTTTTTTCGTGCTTAAGACCTGAAGAAGAACTCAAACCCAGAGTTTTATGACTTAGAGCTAAGTCTTCTACCTACTGAGTCATAGCTGAGATTCATAAAAAGGGAGATTAAATCAGTTTTTGAAAAGATGCAATGAGATATTGAGGCAAGTAGAATTCTACAAGACAAGGACCTAATAATTAAAAGATCATTTAATTTACTATTTTTGAAAATAAAATTGCTGTAAATATCCTACAGGTTTGGTAACGTCTGTGACAAAAGAATCATATTTCATTAAAATATTAATCATTAAAAGGGTGGTGTAATGGTAATATCGTTGAATTGATAATCCAGATGCCCAGACTGATTCAAACAAACCAAGCAGCTGGTGGAATTTAATTTCATTTCACAAAAATCTCAAATTAAAGCAAAGTTGGTCTCTGTAATGGTGACCATTAAAGTATCAATTGTCATAAAAATTCCATCTGGCTGCCCTTTAAGAAAGGAAATCAGCTATTCTTACATTGGCAGGCCTGCATGTGACTCCAGAACTACAGTAATGTGGTTGATTCTTAAGAGCCCTCTGAAATAGCCCAGCAAGCCACTCAGTTCAAGGGTAATCAGCAATGAACCCTAAATATTGGCCTTACCAATGATGTTCACATTAAATGATTTTTTTTTTCAAAATCTTGTCTTTTTTCCTATTCATTTTGCCAAATAGTGGTATTACTAAATACTGACTACGACTCTTTATTTGGATTTATCAATATCTTTAAATGAAAACCACTGCAGCAAAGAAATACATTACCTTGTACTTTATTTCTTCCCAGTTTCTTTCTGATCATCCCACATTATACAAAATACTCTAGTTGACCTATGGCTGTCTTGTTAACAGTTCTTTGCTAATGTTGCTGAATAAATAGTTGGCGACAGATCTAAAATATATCAAATGCCTTCCCCTTCTCTCCTCATTTTCCAACTTTCTTTCTCAATTTCCCATATCATCCTCACCCGTTCCAATTTATTTCTTTGTAGTTTTGGTTCTAACTTTCAAACATTGGTACTGTAGCAATAAAAAAAACTCTGAAACATTAAAATAATATCACAGAATTGTTACAATGAAGAAGGACTCCATTCAAGCCATCATGTCTACTCAGACTTCTCATAATTTTGACTACTTCAATTAGACTAGCTTTTAATTTCAGATTTTTGTTGAATTCAATTTTCAATACCTGCCATGGCAAGATTTGAACCTATGTCCCCAGATGGCATCCTGGGGTTCTGGATTACTAGTTCAGTGATTACCATGACACCACTACCTTCCCTTTGTAACTTCATATACGTGCCTTACTCTTGTACCCTGTGCTCTTGTTTATGAAGCCTAGGATATTATATGCTTCATGAGTACTCTCAGCCTATCCTGTCACTTTTAATGACTTATGCACTTAATATACCAAAGTCCCCCTGCTTTTTACCCCTAAATTCATCCACGGGATGTGGGCTAGTGCCAGCATTTATTGCCCATCCCTAATTACCCAGAAGGCAGTTAAAAATCAACCACATTGCTGGGGGTCTGGAGTCATATATAGGCCATACCAGATTAGGATGGAAGATTTTTGGCAGAGGCAAGTTTTTCACACAAAGGGTGGTGAGTGCCTGAAAGATGCTGCCACGAGTAGTGTTGGAAGCAAACACAGTAGCAGCATTCAAGAAGCACCTGGACAAATACATGAATAGAGGTGTATGGATTCTGTAAGTAAAGACAGTTTTAGTATGGAACAGCAAAACGGCTCAGGCTTGGAGGGTCAAAGGGCCTGTTCTTGTGCTGTATTATTCTTTGTCTTTCTTGCCTGAAAGTGAATCAGATGTGTTTTTCCTGACAATTGTCAATAGTTTCACAGTCATCATTAGACTCTTAATTCCAGATTTTTATAGAGTAAAATTCCACCATCTGTCATGATGTGATTTGAAACTGGGTCCTGGGAACATTATGTGGCCCTCTGGATTAATGGTCTAGCGATAATGCCACTAAACCATTGCCTCCTATTTTTTTCACCCTTGATATAATTTCTCCATTGCTTTCTTACCAAAATCTATCATTTTGCAATTCACTGCATTGAACTTCACATGCCAACAATCTTCCCACTCATCAACTCTTCTATGTCCTTCTGAACAGCACCTTTCCGTAATTGGCTAGAGATGGGGCACTGTATAGTTCCAGTTCAGTCTCTCCGGAATTTTCACTTGCAGAAATTTCCACTCCAGCAAATACATAATCACTAAGCATGGATTAAAGCCAGGAATATACAAGTCCAAAATTGGGGTGGAGATGTGGATGAGAAAAGCTATAGAGGTATTTGAATGCAAGAATAAGAAGTTTTGAAATTTTGGCTTCTTATAATAGGGTGCCCCGATTGCTCTAAACTAATGACATATGGTAGTTGTTGCATTTTGAGTTTAACATTATAAGACAGTGCAAATGTCAAAAATAATCTTCAAATGCAATTGGATTTTTTTCATCATAACCATAAATAACTGACAATTCCCCTCTTTTCATGAACCTGATCTTTTGGGATCTTTACAATTGAAGATGACCACCTATCAAGTGTGGCATCCCTGGACTCCATTTGAGGATAATTTTCAATGGGTTGGATACGGTCGCAAGTCCCTTCAGAAACGAGATGGAACAGAGACCATACAGATGTCTTCACCATCAGACCAAGAAGTGGCCCTCTACCTGCAAAATGACGTCGCAACTGATGACTGGAATCTCTTGGATCTTCTAGGGGACACAGGAAAACTCACTTCTGAGATGTGCTATACTTCAGAAGATGAATATGATAATACAACAATCATACATAAACCTCATCCCATCAAACTCAGCTCTGTTGATTCCGTATTTGGGAGAGCTATCACTAGCAGAGCACCAAGACTTGCAGGGGGCTTTCGTGCTTCGGAAAGCTCAGCTTTTACTGAGATCAGTGTCGATTCCCCCATACCGACTTTAACTGCGCGGTACAAAATTAATTTTATCATGATGTTTTATAGGCAATTATTAAGGCTTGTCACCTTGATTTACACAGCTTATCAGAAATGTTTTTACCTGTTACAACATCAAATTTGATACTTTACTAAACTTGTTTCTTAAAAGACTTTTTAAAAAAATAAAATAAAATGAACTTTATTCCCATTACTTCTCTCTACAGATTCCTTCAGCCGGAGCAGTAGCATACACAGAGCTTTGCTGTAACTGCTGTTCTTGCTGGATAGAAGGTAGCAGTCGTTTTTCTTAGGGATACAACAAGCTCGTGAGATATTTATCTCACCTTGGCCTTTGAACCATATTCTTTTTAAAAGCAAGATCAGCCATTGGGCAAGAAGTAGTTTGACATCAGGTTACTATTCCGGCTCTGTGTGTGTATGAGTGGAATTAATGGGGTGGCCAAGTGGTATTATCACTAGATTTTTTTTAAATCCAGAAACTCAGCTAATGTTCTGAGGATCCTGGTTCGAATCCCACCACAGCAGACAGTGGAATTTGAATTCGATTTTTTTAAAAAAAAATCTGGAATTAAGAATCTGCTGATGACTATAAAACCAAATGTCGGAAAAACCCATCTGGTTCACTAATGTCCTTCAGGGAAGGAGATCTGCCACCTTCACCTGGTCCAGCTGACATGTAACTCCAAACCCACAGCAATGTGGTTGACTCTCAGTTGCCCTCTGAAATGGTCTGGCAAGCCATTCAGTTGTACAAATCTCTATGAAGTCTCAAAGAAATGAAATCAGATGGATCACCAGGCATCGGTCTAGGCAGTGGAAAAGACACCCTCAGAAACAGCCCTATCAACCCTGCAAAGCCGTTCTTACTAACATCTGGGGGTTCGTGCCAAAATTGTGAGAGCTGTCTCACAGATGAGTCAAGCAACAGCCTGCCATAGTCATATTCATGGAATCATACCTTACAGGCAATGTTCTAGACACCACTATCAACATCCCACAAGCAGAGGTGGTGACATGATTGTATACAGTCTGGAGGGCGTCACCCTGTGAGTCCTCAACATTGGCTGGAAACCCCATGAAGTCTCATGGCTTCAGATTAAACATGGGCAAGGAAACCTCCTGCTCATTACCATGTACCATCCTCCCTCAGCTGATGAATCAGTACTCTTCCACGTTTAACAACACTTGGAGGAAAGACTAGGGAGGTCAAGGGGGATTTCAATGTCCACCACCAAGAGTGGCTCACCAGCAGTACTACTGTTTGAGCAAGTTGGGTCCTAGAAGACATCACCTGCCGCAGACCCAGCCTTGCAGTTGTGAGGGAACAACATATTTGACCTCATCCTTTCCAATCTAATGACTGCAAATGCACCTGTCTATTACAGTATCAGTGAGAGTAACCATAGCACAGTCCTTGTGGAGACAAAGTTCTGCCTTCACATTGAGAATATCCTCCAAAATGTTCTGTGGCACCACCACTGTGCTAAATGGGACAGACTTTGAACAGATCTAGCAACTCAAGACTGGGCATCCATAAGGTGTTGTGGGCCATCAACAGCAGCAGAATTGTAATCCAGCACAATCTATAACCTCATGGCCTGGCATATTCCCCAGTTAACCATTACCATTAAGACGGGATCAACTTTGGTTCAATGGAGATTGTAAGAGGGCTTGCCAGGAGCAGCAACAGGCATACCTAAAAATGAGGTGTCAAGCTGGTGAAGCCACCAACCAGGACTACTTGCATGCCAAGCATAAGCAGCAAGCGATAGAGCTAAATGATCCCACAACCCATGGATCAGATCTAAGCTCTGCAGTCCTGCCACATCCAGTCGTGAATGGCGGTGGACGATTAAATAACTCACTGGAGGAGGAAGCTCCACAAATATCCCTGTCTTCAATTTGGAAGAGCCCAGCACGTCAGTGCAAAAGATAAGGCTGAAACATTCGCTGCAATCTTGTAGATGATATATTTCGGCATCCTCCAGTGGTCCCCAGCATTACAAATCTTTAGCCAATTTGATTCATTCCACATGATATCTAGAAATAGTTGGAGACACTGGATATTGCAAGGTCTACGGGCCCTGACAACATTCCAGCAATAGTACTGAAGACTTGTGTTCCAAAACTTGCCACTCCTGTAGCCAAGCTGTTCCAGTGCAGTTACAACACTGGCAGCTACCTGACAATGTAGAAAATTGCCAGGTATGTCTTGTATATAAAAAGCAGGACAAATCCAACTCAGTCAATTACCACCCCATCTACTCTCTATCATCAGTAAAGTGATGGAAGGTGTCATCAGTGCTATCAAGCAGCACCTGCTCAGCAATAACCTGCTCATTGACACTCGGTTTGGGGTTTGCCAGGGACACTTGGGCCGGCTCCTGATTTCATTACAGCCTTGGTTCAAACATGGACAAAAGAACCAAATTCCAGAGGTGAGGTGAGAGTGACATCAAGTGATATCAAGGCCGCATTCAACTGAGTGTGGCATCAAGAAGCCCTAGCAGTACTGGTATCAGTGGGTTTCGGGGGCAAACTCTCCGCTGGTTGGAGTTATACCTGGCACATATCTGGTCGTAGTTGTTGGAGGTCAGTTGTCTCAGCTCTAGGACATCTCTGCAGGAGTTCCTCAGGGTACTGTCCTAGGCCCAGCTATCTTCAGCTGCTTCATCAATGACCTTCCCTCCATCATAAGGTCAGAAGTGGGGATGCTTGCTGATGATTGCATAATGCTCAGCACCATTCATGATTCCTCAGATACTGAAGCAGTCCACGTTCAAATGCAACAAGATCTGGACAGTATCCAGGTTTGGGCTGACAAGTGGCAAGTAATATTTGCACCACACAAATGCCAGGTTACAACCATCACCAAGAGACAATCTAACCATGCCCCTTAACACTGCACAGTGTTACAATCACTGAATTCCCCCACTATCAACATCCTGGGGATTACCATTGACCAGAAACTCAACTGGATTCACCATATAAACAGTAGCTACAAGAGTAGGTCAAGGCTAGGATTACTGTGCTCCCTAAAGCTTGTCCATCATCTACAACGCACGAATCAGGAGTACGATGGATTACTCCCCACTTGCGTGGATGGTTGCAGCTCCAAAAACACTTAAGAAGCTTGACATCGTTCAGGGCAAAACAACCCACTTGATTGGTACTGCATCCACAAACATTCACTATCTCCACAGCTGACGCTCAGTAGCAGCAGTGTACTATCTACAAGATGCACTGCAGAAATTCATCCAAGATCCGCAGACAGCACCTTCCAGACCCACAACCACTTCCATCTAGAAGGACAAGGGCAGCAGATATGTGGGAACACCACGACCTGCAAATTCCCCTCAAAGCCATGCACCATTCTGACTTGGAAATATATCACCATTCTTTCACTGTCACTGTGTCAAAATTCTGGAATTTCCTCTCTAATGGCACTGTAGGTGGACTGCAGCAGTTCAAGAAGGCAGCTCATCACCACCATCTTCTCAAGGGCAAAATGGGTCAAACAATAAATGTTGCCCCAGCCAGCAATGCCCACATTCCACAAATGAATAGAAAATAGTTGAATCAGGACTTGAACGATGTGTGCAATTTCAGTAATTCAATTTTTTCTTAAGAATTGATCAACCCTAAGCCATGGTTGGACAACTCGCCATCTGTATGCAGGCAAAACACAAACATAGAGTGAAATTATTATTTAAAATGATTAACAAAAGTCAAGTTTTAAAGAAATTAGACTTTAGGAGCAACCAAAATAAAACAAGATAAAAACTGAAACCAAATAAAACCAGATGGTTTAATCACACATTATTCCAAGACACTGGAATTTTGCTACAGTTGAACAAGAAGCATTATTAAGCTTTGCTTTGGCCACGTGCAAAAACACTTGAGGGATGTCTTCAAAGAATCCCTGAAGAGATCAAACATCATAGTGTCATACAGCACGGAAACAGACCCTTCAGTACAACTGATCAACTCTGACCAGACATCCCAATCTGACCAGACATCCCACTCTGACCTAGTCCCATTTGCCAGCATTTGGCCCATGTCACTCTAAACTCTTTCTATTCATATACCCACCCAGATGTTACAATTGTACCCACCTCCACCACGTCCTCTGACAGCTCATTCCATACAAGCGCAACCTTCTGTGTGAGAAAATTACCCCTTGGGTCAAGATCCTGGTTTGTGATGAACCAAAATGAAAGTTCATTTCAGAATGCATCAAACATATTGAGACACTTCATCAGGAATGTGCAAAGGTAAAGTTGAGGCAGTGTGCAAAAATCTGCAACAAGTCATCTACCCAATCCTGCAAGCACCAATTGTCACACATAGGAGCCTGCAGTTCATGCACTGGACTGGTCAACCATCTCAGAATCTCTTGAACTAGAGCAGTAGCAAGTCAACCTCAAACCCAAGAACTGTCTAAGAGAAGACAATGGATGGCATTGATTCAATGCTGAAAACACCTGGTCAATGGCCAGATTTAGGAATTATTTTAGCCGTACTTTTTCCAGTAAAAATCATGGAATAATCTTCATCCCAATTATTTAAGAGGAATTTCTAATAAAAAAAAACATGATAACAATTAAATAATAACCTTTATTAATTCTTATACAGCAGCATAACCTTTTAACAAAAAACAGTTTACAATTGGATCTCATTGCCCATACAATCAGAACCAAAAAGGGACTGCAGGACTTTATCTATCAAAAGCAATTGTTCTTATATTTTGATAAAACACAGAGGGCAGTGCAGTGAAATTTCAGAGCCATTTCCCATCTAGGTGCAGAAACAAACCTAGTCCTAAGAGCACCATGGTGTTGGTGTGCAATTCAGCTTTAATGTACTACATTGGAATCCCTCATTAAAAAATGTCTTCAACTTTCCTTTCTAAGCATCCACCCTGTAATATGCCTGCCTAAAGTAACCCCTGAACTTTAATTCAAATTAAATGAACGTTTTCAATTCTAGGAAAATAACAACAAAATCAGATATACTGTTTGATGACAAGGTAGCAGCAATGTGACTTCACCATGGACATATCATTACATTGTCTTTAGTCTATTAATTTAGTTTGTGGGCAGAGAAAATGCTAATAATTTTAAATTATAGGATGTAAATAACACAACTAAGTTAAATTTACTGTCAAACATTTTAATTAATCAGATTATTTGAAATCAATTGATTTTAAATTAAGGATAAAAAAATTAAAGGACAAGAAACAAATCCTGTTCATACTTGGACCAGCAGGTCTCAAAGACCTCCTCTTATAAATTTTACAAGTTAGATCGCCTCAACCTCGGCCCTGTAACATTGCTTCACACAACTTACAATCTAAGATCAGGTGTAGAAAAAAATTCACAAGTAGTTTCGCCTAAATGTTGAAGATTTATGTTGATCCATTTTATCTGGCATAATGTCAGGTCACAAGTGGTAGGAATTAATAAAACTATGCTATTTAAAAGGGAAGACAGTACCTTTGACTGGTCATTCCACAGTTGAAAGCCGTTGGCCATTAGTACTAAGTAATGTGCTCTGGCTGACGAAATCAGCAGCTGCACTGTATTCCTTAAACAGAGATAAATTACTGATTTTTTAATGTTGTTTTGAGGGATTCTGAGGAATGATCATTGCACACAAATGGCAAGTTGCGGAGCTCACTGAGAGTTGGTGAATTTCATGATTAAATCAAATTTATGTAGATTATACTGCCTTACCAGCTATGTTAGAAAAGAGTAAGCAGGATACAGTACCTGCTCTCTCTCTCTCCCTCTCATCCTGTGGGGACCACAGAGTTGGAATGACTTTTCTTTCAGTTATTCTGTCCTTTGTGAGAACTTCAGGCATTCATTAGCCTATTGTCCGTATTGAGGGAGTTGAGAGATCAATACAAAGAATGCGGAACTGGAATACAGATTTACTAATTCATGTTACTGCATATCTTCCCCATGGCCAGTGTTCTGCTCCCTTTGTCACATTAACATTGTATTTTTAAATGCAAATTTCAATCACAAAATTGATGGCACAAGCGTGACTGGTAAAATAAATGCTAAATGCTGTAGGTAAAGGAAAAAAACTGTACACATATGGAACAAAATAGCATTATAAATATCATAAAGCTTTCTAGGAATTGCAGCCCCTTTTCATGCTGTATTATATGACTTTGCAATTATATTAATTCCCCAAGTTCACTTAAGTAGTTTGGTAAATTCTATTGTCCTGGACATTGCCAGATTTTTTTTTTTGCATAATTTACGTCATGAACTGTATGACAGATACAGCTGGCTATTCTTTACCCTAGGTTTTGATAAGGCATCAGGACTGACCTAGAACAAGAGAAAGGAATACAATTGGATTAGGTTGAATAAATTGCAACTTTTAACAAGGATTTCAAAAAAGATAAACTTATTGCTATTTGTACTGATAAAATAGCAGAAATTTAAAGTAATTTTCTCTTCTCTATTTTCTCATAACTTTCTCTCTTTGTTCAATCCAGATTCTTGCCTTCTTTGGGATTCATATAATTACTACATATTGGATGGGAGTGATTCTTCTACTGATTTTACACTGTACATAGGAACAACTCCCTTCTTATATTCTTTGTCATTCTCCAGCAGAATTGGCAGAGATCATCACTAGCCAAGATGGGTTCAAAAAACCTGTTTGTTAGTGCATTGATAAACCAAGAGAGATTACTCTTTTCATCCTCCAGGACTATGGTGATGTTACTTTTAGTAAACCAAGCCATTGGCTCTTCCCTAGCAGATCTCAAATGCCTCCAGCCTGGTGTCAGTAGTTATGGATGAGATTTGGGGTAACTTGAGGTTGAAGAAAATCAGAAAATTTATTTCTTCTTCAGATATTGATAGCATGGGTGATATTACATTTAACACCAGTCACTAGTCCTGATAAAGTGATGTATGTGGTTTGCTGAACCACTTCAGAGGGCAGCAAGCACTGACCCTATTATGGGCTAGGCTGGACATAATAGGGATATCAAAAACCAAAAGTGCTGTGGGTGCTGTAAATCGGAAACAAAAACAGAAATTGTTGGAAAAGCTCAGCAGGTCTGGCAACATCTGTGGAGAGAAATCAGAGTTATGTTTTAAGTCGAGTGATCCTTCCTCAGAACTGGGATAGGAATATCCTTCCCTGAAAGATATTAGTGACAATCTAGTAGTTTTGCTGATAATTTTTCCGCTAATGCAAGCCTGCAGATGATCAGACTTATTGAATTAATTTCTCAGGTTACTATGGTAGAATCTGAATTCACAATGTCTGCGTTGCCAGTCCAATACATTGACATGCTATACCCTTAACCTAAAGGAGAAAAATAAGAATGTGATGCATTTTATCAGATGAAAAGCCAATGCAAAACATAGTACTGGCAATGTAAATTTGGTTGACTCTGATATCAGATTTTTGACAGGACAGCTTGATGGTGTTCTCATTCTCTACCACCACATAGTTGTTTAAATGTTCAATGATCCCCTGTCTTATCATGCAAGGTCTCCAGTGTAGAACATGCAATTCAACATGATGAAAGGGGCAAGTCAAGTCTCTGCACTATTCAGCTTTTGTATTCTTAATTTGGGTTTTGGTTCCTCTGACAGCACACAACATGCTTGTATAGAACTCTTTTATGGAATACTTCTACCCAGCTGCTGACTGACTGTTCAAATCGAGTACTGGAGGGCCATGTAATTTAGCTGTAAAACGCTCTGGGATGTCTTAAAATCGTGAAGGAACTTTTATACAACTGTGCTAAGTAGCACTGCAGCGGGGAAATTAAATCCTTAGTAGCTGCTGTATTATGGCTCAGGAAGCCTATAATCGTGAAGGATTTAAAAGCACTTTTAAGACTCAAAATCCCAATTGTGGAGAGAAAAGGACACTCGCTACTTTACCTTCGACTGTCCAGGACAGTAAGAAACAAGCTGCAGCAAGAGATACATCTGCATTGTGAAACTGAATCTAGGAAGTGTTATACTCTGCAGTAGTGCTACATACAATAAATACAGACCTAATCACTGTCAGAGACTTCAGTACTTCCTTCATCGTCATCCCTTTTAGTTTTCCTTGTATCTGACTCACGACCATCTAACTCATCCTCAGTCTCCTATAAAGAAACAAACAAACAAATTCTGTGATGCTTTCTCTGTTTTCTATCAGTAGATAATAAAGAAAAGCAAGGTTTCCAAGGTAAATAAAGATCATAAGTAATTTGTTTACTATTTCATCATTCGCCCACCCTGGCGCAGTAGGTATCTTCGAACAAGTCAGGAGATTTTCTTCAGAATCTCTAGAATGGGACAAAGTTAGGCAAACACTCCAGTGCCATCTTTTGGATGATTTATTAAGCAGAGACCACATCTTCCCACTTAAGTGGACCCCAGTGACTATTTTGAAGAAAGTAAACAGGAATTATTCCTAGTTCCCTGTCCCATATTTATCACTCATTCACAATTACTGAAAACAAGCTTTTCATCATGTTGTTGTTGTAGTTTGGTTTTATAGATTGGCTTTCATGTTGCCCATATTACAATAGTGACTATACTTCAAAAGTTCTTCTTAGCTGCACAAGACTACTTCTGAAATTGTGAAAGGCACTAGATAAATGCAAGTGTTTCCTTTCTACTGTTCAGGTTGCAAGTTTCATTGACAGATGAATTCACAGCAGTCAGAAAGGCAAAAGACCAAGGCATTGCTTTCCCTAGCCTCCAACTATTGGATATTTTGCTGCCCAGAATGAGTTATGGATCATTGTGCAATGCAAATTCAGGCAAATGCCCAGCACAGCCTTGTGCCAGAAAACAAGGGAAGGAAATGCAGGCTGATTGCTGGTTTCACGTCTTCTGGTTGTTGATGGAAATCAATAACCACAAAAGATGCAAATCACTTAAGAAAGAGAATCCAACCAACCTTGGGTCTTCTCACTTCAAAACCTTTTCTAAAGAAATGTTAGGATACTCCTACATCTGGGCATTACATAGACACTACTTCAGAAAACAGAGATAGGGAGCTGAGAATTATTACTGCAGCTGTGATGTAGAGCATTGGTAAGACCACATCTGGAATACCGGGAACAGCTTCAGTCTTATTATTTGAAAAAGAATATAATTGCATTAGAAACAGTTCCCTTGACTTATTCCTGGGATGTAAGTCCTTACATGAATGACTTACATACTGACTGGTCAAGGTTGCCCATGATTTATATGGCTTAGTATTTTACCACAGGGCACACTTACCTGCAGAGCAACTGGAGAAAGTTAACGTTTAGCATTATTCCAGGAAAGAGCAGGTCATCAAAGTGAATCATTCGCATATTTTAAGGCAACATCTGAATTTTTTTAAGTTGTTCCCTGTTATCTACTGGAAGCCACTGATTGAATTACTATCTGACAGATAGTATATGAATCTAGGAAACGCAAGCATAATTTTGTGTAAGGTCTTCTCCCCATCTGATGATTCAACATTTCCTGTCAATTACACCACAGTGACGTCAACATGGGACCAACCTCCAACTTCCTTAATCTTATTCCCATTAAACTGCTGACCACCCAACCTCCCTCGCCGGTCCTCATGTCAGCTGATATTGTTAACAGTTTTTCCCTTCTGGTCCTGTCCCTCGCTCCTCCCAAATTGTGACATCACCTCTTCCTCAAACAAACAACCAGTGATCCCACTATCCTTGCAAATTGCTATCCCATCTCCGACATCCTCCAAATCTGTGACTACCTTTCTTGGATCTCCCTCTTTGAATCCCTCCAATCATCTTTTTGCCCATGTCTCAGTACTGAAATAACTCTCTCCAAAACCTGTGACTGTGGCAAAGGTCTGGGGCATCACACTTCATCCTTCCTGAGCTGTTTGTTAAGTTATAGTATGTTTAACCACACCTCCTCTGTCTATAATTGTCTGGCTATGTGGCAGCCTCATACCTCCACTCATACCTAATCATTTCCGGAATGGTTTCTCTCTTGCTCACTGACAAACACCAATTCCCAGGCAGGCAATGCCACATTTTAAAGATTCTCATCCTTTTGTTTTCAAATCTCTCTAAGATATATGTGCTGATCTAATTCTAGGTTCTTGAGCATTCTTAATTTTAATTGCTCCACCATTGGTGGTCATGCCTTTAGGTGCCTCAGCGCTAAGCTCTGGAATTCCCTCCCTAAACCCCTCTTCTTCTTTCAGATATACCTTCAACTTTGCATCTTCAACCAAATTTTGTACCATTTGCCTTATTAGTGGTTTGTATAATAAGGTGTCAGATTTCACATTAAGCATGGCTTTGAAGCACCATGTAACATTTTTATTATGGTAAAGGTGTCATATAGATGTAAGCTGTTGTTGCAGTGGGATGTTTCTTGTACAGTCACAGCAAGATATTTTACTGTGATTGATACCACTCCAAGACTTTACCTCCTCTGCATCATCTTCAGGTAACTCTGATTCTTCATCACCCCCACTCTCTTGTTGGGATACCTGGGACAGGATCTCCTCTCCCTGTGTGAAAACAACAGTCAAATAAGCAAACCGCTAAAGTATTCAGTGTGATCGGCAAAGAATGACCAGAAACTGGACCAACCATATATATTCTGGCTACAAGTACAAGACAAAGGCTAGGAATTCTGTGGTGAGCAACTCACCTTCTGATGGTGAAGACTATTTACCAAGCATAAAGCACAAGTCAGGAATGTAATGGAATTCTCTCCATTTACCTAGTGCAACTAGAATAACACTCTAGAAGCTTGATACGATTCAGGATGAAGCAGGCTGCTTTGTTAGCATCATATGCACCACCGTAAATATTTGCTTTTGTCACCATGATGGCTATAGTGTCTACCACCTACAAACTGCACAGCCAGCAACTTATTAAGGACCCTTTGACAACAGCTTCCAGACATGCAACCTCTCCTACTTAGAAGGATAAGGGTAGCAGATGTAGGAGAACACCAGAACCAGAAGTTCCCCACCAAGTGACACCCCAACCTAACTGTGAACTATATTAATGCTTCTTCACTGAAGCTGGATGAAGATCCCAGTATACCCTCCTAATAGCAGGGAGTATACCTGCATCCCATGCACTGCAAATGTTCAAAAAAGGTGCCCCAACCCGGGATGAGCAATAAATGCTGGCCTAGCCAACAATGCTCACATCTTGTGAAAGAATAAAAAAACACTTTACACTGAAATGTTGGTTGACAGCTAAATTGCCCATAGTGTCCAGGGATGTGTTAGTTAAATGGATTAGAAAAGGGAAATGCAGGGTTACAGGGATTGGATGGGGTCTTGGAAGACTCAGTGTGGACGTGTTGGGCCGAATGGCCTGTTTCCACACTGTAGGAATTATATGATGATATGATATGATGATGATAAAGATACACAGAAGTTCTATCAAGTAGTCAGAGATAACTTTCAGTCTGTAACAAGTCACCAGAATATGTACAAAAGCACCAGATGGTAACACATTCCTTGAGTACTCTGAATTCCATTTCTGAAGCACCTCATGAATTCATATTATGACTTCATCTTCATATACCAAGTCATCTAACATCAGGCAGTCACTATATGCCTTTATCTTGCTTTAATAAAATGTTAACTTCACACTGTTGATGAATAGCAATGGCTACCAAAATCAGGCTAATTTAATGTAACACTTAACTATGCACGATAAATCTAACAAATATGGGTTGGGGAGGTGCAGTTTAGTGGGTTAGCAGGGAATGGCAAGTGCTCATCACATATATTACTATAAAGACTGCAAAGAGTACAACAGAAGATGAGATAGATGAGGAATTCCTGATAGGAAATACCACCCAGAGTATGTGTGACATTGTGTGGTTGATTGAGGAATAAATATTGGCCAGGTACTGAGGGCACTTACCCATTCCTTTTCAAAGATGCTGTAGCATATTTTAAGTCCACCTCAGAGGGCACACCAGGCCTTTTGTCTGAACTATGCCACTTCCAATAACACAGCACTCCCTCAGTATCCCAGTGGAATGTCAGCCCAGAACTTGCTGCTTAATTCTGTATCATGGGACTTGAATCTGAAACAGCCATTTACCAACTGAGCCACAGTTGACATGATGATGCTTGAGTTCAACATAATAAGGAAAGATGATGGCATATGCAGAAGGTAATAGTTGTGGCTTAGGAGGAACTAGCCGCCCCAACCTCAAAATATTTGGAGATGTAAATATAGTAATAAAGAGCAAATGCATCACGCCAATTGACATATAACAATTCAGAAATACACAACCGCACTGTGTTGAACCAAAACACAGAAATCTACACTTCTACTGACCTGCAGATCTCTGTTTTTGAGGTTTCCTAGCCAGAATGCCTCTTGGCACTTATTGATAGTCAACATTGCTTTGACTCGATACACAAATATTTCCAACAACTTCTTCAGTGGTGGGACATGATTGGTCAGATTAGTATCCTGGTTGAGCTGCAAATCAAGTCAGAAGGATGGGATGAAATATATTTAGTTGACAGTAAAGTCTAGATTAAAGTAAGACTAGCTGGTCTATAACGTGCCAATTCATATCTTACTCCATTTTTTTGGGGGCATCTTTATTACAGGATACACTTCTGTTTTTGGGTACTAACCTTATAATAACACAGCTCTTCTCATCCATTATTTTGAGGTGGGTTCTTCCCAAACAGGTATTTTATTGGCAGCTAGTTAAATTACAGATTCCAAATAGATTGGATTTTCTGATAAACATTAATTTAATACTAAGAGAACATCATTTAAAAGCAATTGTGACATTAAGATAAAACAATTTGGAAAATCCACAGCTAATGCGACCACAATTCACTTGCAACTAATTCACTGTAATATTGAGACTTCTTGGCACTGTAGCCATCCAATATGGTGATATCAAATGTTTAGTTGCTGGAACATATACATTTTGTTTTATATAGGAATAAAAATGCTTTTGCTTGTTTTGCAAAACCAACTGTGTTAACACTGTCAATATGCATTACTCCACATTTAAAATTGCATTTCTGTAATCTTTTCATTGTCCATAATGTTAACAATTCGGGTTATTCCACAAAGTTATGTCCATCCAGCACCTTAGATGGCATTTTTACAGCAATGTTGCTAGGGCAGCACAGTTGATTCACAAGCTTGTTTCATTATAATGAGCTGAATATCAATCCAAAATGACTGGATGAAGATTTTGTCCTTAATGACTGACAGCATTCCCTGTGAAAAAGGTTTTGATATTCCTAATGCAGAGACAAAGGGCAGTTCTACCAATATCAAGCTATGTTTTTCCATATCTTTCTTACTTATATCAGCTGAATGAGGTCTCAGATCCTCTTAGTTTCTAGTATTGAGGAAACTAATCTGAGATACAAGAATTGTAAAATTAACAGAAATTACATAATCATTAGACAACCTGTCATCAAATTCAAATTTGTAACAAGAAAGCTTGCTGATATGAACTCGCTTCAAACTCCAACAATCCTGTGTGTTACAGTCATACCTTGGTATGTCCACACATATGGTGGAGCTGACGAGTACTCAGCTGTAAGGTCTTCAGCAAACTCTGAACATCCCCCTTTAAGAAAAAATAGGATACTCTCAGTAGACAAACCTAAAAGCAGTTATAATGTAAATAAAGCAAGAGTTCACTCAATGTGAACTTGTAACATCATTCCCCCGCACGCCACCTCTCTCATCACTACAGCAACACTCTTGCATCAAATCAAAATACATACCACGAGTTATTCTGGTCTAAAAGTAAGAAAATTTTTTACATCAGCACAATGAAACAACATAGTCATTTCAGCTGACTTTGGAACAAAGCTGAAATTTGCTTGGAGTCAGGAGCACAGAATTTTACAAATTACTATCTCCACAAATCCAAACTGGGAGAAGAAGTGTCCCGAATAGTCTACTTTGCATTCTGGAGTGGGTAGGTCTTAAACCGAGTCAAGCACAAGTTCCCCAGAAAAAATTGAGGGACTGCTGAGTGCAGAGAAGCTGTGTGAAAAGATCCTCCCCACCAATTGCTGATCCAAAATTTTTTCTGTTTAAAAATGAACAGCCCTCTAGCCCTCAAACTGCCCAACATATGCACCATCCATGTCAACCCATACAACCTCACGTTCTATATTCACATCTAAGAGCCCCTCAGATCCTTCATGCTAACCTATTCATTTCCACCCACCTGCTATGGCACTTCATAGACCCTTATCAACTTGGTGCTAACTCACGCTAAACCATGGTTCCACATTTTTCCATATATCCTGGATGCCAACTTACCTCGTATCCACAAGGACAAGCTTCGGGACCCATGTTGGAGTGATAAAAATAAAGTCCTAAATGTATGTTGATGAATTCACTATTCCCTCTCAGAACTGTTATGGTGCAGAAGGAGGCCATTTGGCTAACTGTGTTTGCACCAGTTCTTCAAAAAGAGAATCATTACCAAGTGCGAATCTTCTCCTTCATCCCAATACCGTTGCATACTATTTCTCCTCAAATAATCATCCAATGCCCTCTTGAATGCCTCAATTGAACCTATCTCCACCATATTTCGAGGCAATGCATGCCATACCCTAAGCACTCGCTGTTTGAAAAAATTGTTTCATTTGCAAATCACTTTGAATGTATACCCTTTCCATCTTGTTTCTTTAATGAGTGGGAACAGCTTTTCCTTATCTATGTATCCTGCTGCTCATGATTTTGAAAACTTCAATTAAATCTCCTCTCAACTTCCTTCTCTTCAAGGAGAACAGTCCCAACTTCTTTGATCTATTCTCTTTACTCAAGTTTCTGCTTGAAAGCAGTTGCACTTTAAAATGTTCAGCTGGCTTTGCAAACCGCGGACATATAATCTTGGTAAATAAAAACCAAAAGAACTGCGGATGCTGGAAATCAGAAACAAGAACAGAAATTGCTGTAAAATCTCAGCGGGTCTGGCAGCACCTGTGGAGAGCAATCAGAGTTAACGTTTCAGGTCCAGTGACCCTTCCTCAGAACCAGTTCTGAGCTTTTCCAGCAATTTCTGGTTTTGTTTATGACATATAATCTTCTCACATTCCACCCCCAACAAAAGTACTGGATGCCCGTTTTAGGAGCAGGACCTCTAGAATTGGTGCTCCAGAGCCATTTTAGCTAAGTTGGAGACCATCTCTGTCATTGCAGAAATTCAGGCCATTGTTCTTCATTTCAGAATGGGTTGTACAAAAGAAGCACTTCAGACAGGTAAACAATATTTGCAAAATTCACTCCAAAGCAGACAGATACAAAATAATTTCAGCTCTTATGGGTCACTGGACCAAAACATTAACTCTGCTTTCTCTCCACAGATGTTGTCAGACCTACTGAGTTTCTCTGGCAATTCCTGTTTTTTGTTTCAAATTTTCAGCACCTGCAGTGCTTTGTTTTATACTAGATACAGAGTAGCATCAGCCAACACCTGGGAGAAAATTTGTTGCCGTGCTCCTAGCTGTGGGAATGGCAGACGAAATAGAAGCTATATAGAAATAAAGCAGAAAGGTGTGACTGAACTACATATTTCCTAAAATCACTTTTTAATGTGATTTACTGATAATTATCAATATCTAAACGACCACAGAAATTCCATTTTGTCTGTATTGATTTTCAGCATATATGCATTAAAAACTGCATGCACAAAGTCCAGGTTCAATCACCAGCATTTCAATAATTCACCTGTTAAAATTTATACGTCAATCTTGCTTTAATAGTAGAACTCTCACATCAAAGCCAAAAATATTCTGGGTTAACATCTCATTCCAGAAATCTGTGTACACAATGGGCCTGTAATGTCTACAGTTCCGAGAACACATTGTGTGTTTTGGCGTTCCCTCTTTTGGACAATGAATTAAACAGAGGTCATACCTGCTTTCTCAGTCCTGTGGGCATGTTCATGGTTTTAAGGTTCCCTCTTTTATAAAGTATTAAACGCCTCTTGGGTGGACGTAAAGGATCCTCTCATACAATTTTGGAAAGGAAAGTGGATGTTCTTCACAATGTTCGGGTCATTATTTATCCTTCAATCAATATCACCAAAGCAGGTTGTATGGTCAATATCTCATTGTTGTTTGCAGGAAGTCACTTCAACAAATTTGGTTGTCATGCTTCCAACAGCATAACAATGACTACATTTCAAACGTACTTCATTGGCTATAAAGCACTTTGAAATGTTTTGAGATCGTGTTAGACCGTATATAATTTGTGTCCTTGTTTTTAACCTCATTTTTTTCTAACTCCTTCAGGAACTAACTAATCTGTTGTAGCTCTGCATCAATTTTCAGTTTGGTCATGGTGGTTTTTGACCCGTTTCAAAACCACACATCATTAGACTATAATTAAATGATCTGAACCAATTGGCTAGATAGTGGCTTTGTTCTCAATTTCATCTTATTTTCTATTAAACTTGTACTTTTTGCTGGAAATTCATACCCTGTGTTTCTTGAAGCTGTAGTCGAGGAGTGGCATGCCTTGCTTAAGAAACGATTCAATGAAAAGGCGTCCATGCTGCATTACAAAAATATAATCATGCATTAGATTAAAATACTATGGCAATACCATCTTTGTACAACTAACTACTATTAAAATTGGGCTGTACACACAAAATCAAAGAGTTTAATTGATCTAATTTATGGCAGTTTGGCATTTCAGTGTACTATGCTAAAGGTAGTAGTTAGGAAAACATTGCAATTTTGTAATTCCCACAATCAAAGTCTTGGTCACACACAGTGAAAGATAGGCAATAATTACGGGCTAGGCATTTATTCCTCTTCGGGTTAAGGGAGCGGGTGATGTCATAGAAAAATCGAACAGAGTCATTGCATTCTACTTTCTTATGCCTTCTAAAAAAGGTTCAAGACTAGTATTGAGACATTACAGAACAGAGAACCTAATTTGCCCGATGGTAAGATTAAGGTATATCATTTTTAGCAGCTATTCTGGAGTTACAGAATTGAAATTCTGGAGGCAGAGGTTAAAGTGGGCATTTTTCTCCTATCAGGATGGGCCTTGCAAAATGACAATTTGTTGCAAATGTGAAACTGCATGCTGAAGAGGGATGAGAGAGAATAATGATAAACGATAACTTCTTAAGTGTTTCATTAAATAAACAGAAATATTTTAGCAATTTTTAAAATCTTATTTTCAACAGAATCATTGGCAGTATTGTCAGTTTTAGAAAGAGATTATACTTCAATTATCAAAGACACAAAATTATAGTTCTGTAAACTGAAGAATATTCCGCTTCTTGTGGATTACCAGAACAATCACAGATATTTCAACGTCACAGATTGTGATCTTGTAATCTGGTTGACACAACAAAACAAAGCAAGCAATCCATGGGTTGCAAACTGATTCTGTTCTGGAGTCTGTTTGCAGGTCAATTTGTACGCAAGTCAGAACACAATACAGGACAATAGAAAGCAGCTGTTCGAAGTATGGGAAATGTTCATATTTCAGGTTTTTAAAATTAAATCATGTATAGGGTTGGGTTCATACATTCATAAATCAGGGAGCTTTGTAGTCGGGAATTTTAAATAAATGTTTGCATTTATGTAGTAATCTTCATGATTTGCAAAGTGCTTTAGAGCCAATGAAGTACTTTTGAAGTGCAGTCACTATTGTAGGAAACTCAAACACCAGTATACGCTTAGCAAAGCCCCACAAACGGTCATCAGACAAAAACCAGATTATGTTTTAGTGATATTGCATGACAAATATTGTTTACTTCAGCAGAGAGAGGTCCCCCTGCTCCTCTTTGAAAAGTGTTGTGGGGGACCTATCACATCCACTTGGGAAGGCAGAATGGCCTCCATTTATTATCCTATCTGAGATCTGCAGCTCTACTGATATTGAACTCTACGAGAGTAACAGCTGAGATTTTCTGTTCAATTCTCTGTGTCAGATTTAACTCCCCAGCCTCTAGACTCAGAAATAACTGCTACATCTAAGCCAAGCTGACACTATTATTCATTTCAGATACTAATTCAAGGTTTCATTTGTCTGTTCTAGCAGATATTAAATATTCAATGACACTTTTCAAGAAAGAGTTGACAACTCTCCCAATATTCCTGGTCAATAAATTTTCTCTCAACTGATACTGAACATATTTGGAAAACATATAGCACTGCACATGCTAGGGATGAAAGGTTGCTGCTTTTGCCCATGAAACAGAGACACTGCACTTCAAGGAATAAAGCCATTGACACAAAACCCTTTGAGATGTTTTCATGATATAATAAGATAGTGTAAGAATGCAATTCTTTTTTCTAAGCCACCATTGTCAAACTAAATCAAATTTATAAGTTGATTACCTTGAGACACACACCCAAGATAGGCCTGCTGTCAAACACCTGCACAGTAAGAAAGTATTAATAAATGTAAAAATAAATTTCTTCAAAGTATGAACAATGTAAACGATAGATATTAAAGCAAGAGTTCACAATTAGAAGCTATATAAACAGACAGCCGTTATCTCACCTGCACTGGTTCAGTGTGGAACACAGTAAACAGGAAAACAGGGGAACTGAAAATCCCAAGACTTTCAGAGTGGCACAGGCAAGGAGGAGTTCAACCAGATACTATTCCGTGAAGTTGGAGAACACTTCCTTAAAAGTTGGTGAAAGTTTGAAGCTCTCTTCCACAACATCAGTTCATGCCATGTAAAATGTGAATGTGAATTTTAAATCAGAAATTGATAAGATTATTGTTAACCAGAGGTATTCAGAGAATCAGAGAAGTGTTACAGTGCAGGAGGAGGCCTTTCGGCGCATCATGTCTGTACAGGCTCATCAAATGAGCATCATTACTTACTGCAAATCTCCTGCTTCATTCTCATATCCTTGCACATTATTTTCATCCAAATAATCATCCAAAGCCCTCTTGAATGCCTCAACTGAACCTGCCTCTGCCACATATCCAGGCAATGAATTCCATACTGCAACTACTCGTTGTGTGAAAAAGATTTTCCTCACCTCGTATTTGCTTCTTTCGCAAATCTCTTTAAATCTATGTCCTTTGGATCTTGATTCTTTTACAACTGGGAACAGTTTCTCCCCATCTACTTTATCCAGATCCCTCATGATTTTGGAAACTTCTATCTAGATTTCCTAAGGATCTCCTTCTCTTCAAGGAGAACAGTTCCAACTTCTTTAATCTATCCTCATCCCTGGAATTATTCTTGTAAACCATGTAAATTCCTTCTGCAATCTCTCCAGTTCATTCGCATCCTTCCTATAATGAGGCGCCCAGAGCTGTACACAATTAGAGATTATGAGGAAAGGGCAGGTAAAAGGAGTTAGGTGGCAGATCAGCCGTGACTTTATCAAATAGCAGAACAGACCAAATGGCCTATTCCTGTTCCTATATTCCTATCAAAAGAATAATGATACGAAAATAAGGGCAATTGCTTACCCTTACTAAAAAAATGTGTTATTTTGTTACCTTTACAAGATTTACGAGGATATGGAAATCTCGCACAGCTACATTCCATCGCAGCAGTTTCTCTATCTGTACCTGAAACCAAATGCAGTTCCAGTTAAAATAGAAATGGCTTAAAAATGTATTGAAACAGTTTGATATTTACCCCCATTTTTGTATAGTTTGGGTGTTACAACATGAGCTCCCCTAATCACAAGCTCTTTCTGGTGAGTGGCCTTCACAATGTTTTTTATATTAATAAAGGCAAAATATTGCAGATACTGAAAATCTGAAACAAACGCAGAGAATGTTGGAGAAGCTCAGCAGGTCTGGCAACATCTATGGATACAGAAACAGAGCTAACATTTCAAGTCCATTATGATTCTTCTCACACTTGTTTCTTTCTCCACAAATGCTGCCAGCATCATTCTCTCTAATTTTCTTTCCAGATACGTGGGCCTCCAAGTCCATGTATAGCAGCAACTTTTGGAACCAGTGGTCAGTGCTGCAATCAGCGTCACCATGCCAATCGCCATCTGTGGAACCTTGCAGTGGCTTTAAGAGGGAATGTCTGCTGCCAAAGTTTCTGAGTTTCTCCAGCATTCTCAGCATTTGTTTACAGTTTTTATACTGTCCCTGAGTCCTGAAATATACTTCTCTTGTCCATAATCTTGTATACCATCCCAAATCTGCAGGTCATATAATTTTATCAATTATCAACATCTGTCTGGTGCATGGAGAGGACGTCTGTCAGTAAAGGGGAGCACATTTCATCTAAAGAGTAAAAAATACATCGAGTAACCATTAAAAAAAGCTTACAAATAAATAAGATTCTCAATATCCCCTCTACCACATATATTGTTAACCACGAACACATCAAACCTTTAAAAGAAAATCTACTCATGTACTTTTATTCAATTTTCCCATTTTTTAAAAAAAATCATTTTTATGGGATGAGGGTATCACTGGACTAGCATTTATTGCCCATCCCTAATTGCTCTGAGGGCAGTTCAAGAGTTAACCATATTGCTGTGGGTCTGGAGTCACTTGTAGGCCAGACCAGGTAAGGACAGCAGTTTCCTTTCCTAAAGGGTATTAGTGAACCAGATGGATTTTTCCAAAAATTGACAATAGATTCATGGTCACCATTAGACTCTTAATTCCAGATTTTTATTGAATTCAAATTCTGCCACCTGCCTTGGTGAGATTTGAACCTGGGTCCCCAGAATGTTATCTGGATCTCTGGATTAATAGTCCAACAATAATATCACTAGGCCATCACCTCCTGGCGCTACTGGTGGCAGGCTTCATTCCATACGGTTAGAAGTGAAGTGGTGCAAAATAGTGGAATGTCAAAAGATAAACATTACCTCAGTTGAATCAGACTGCATGCCAGCTGGAATACCCTTTACAGACTTATCCAATTCACTCATCATTACTCGGTAGAAGATAATGAATGTTTGCCTGTTGAGAGATCAAGCAGTTTATTTCACTATTTTGCCAAGTTTTCCTAACCTCAATCTCCAGCTTCACCTTCATGTCTTTTCACACCAAAGTACGCTTGAAAAGAATGGTAAATTTTCCAATGGTATTTTATACGTGTTTACAGCGACAGTAGCCTTGGGGTGATACCTTCTCGTTTTTGTCACTGAATTTTTGGATCCCAAATGATATTTCTCAGTGAGATTGGGTTTGTCTTATTGGAGTCGCAGGCATAAACTGATTTCCAGCCCTTTGATGGCACAGTTTAATTCAGCTCCAATGAATCCAGATGAAGCACCATTAAAGTGAAACCCTTGGTAAACTTATATTTAAATCCATTGCTATGGCTTACTACCATACATGCTCTTCCACTTTCAAGTCGAGATGGTCTCAAATAATTACCTCTTCATGATCAACTTGACTACTATGATTGGTTGTCAGCTTATGCAATTTAATAACTCAAATTAGTATAAACAGATTGCTAGTCTTCTTCATGTCCCATGCCATTATATCCTCAATCTAGCAGCCTAGCTATTCCTAGGTCATTTCACATTAATCAACAACCCATAGCAAGTCTCCAGGTAACTTATTGCTCAGGAAGATATTGCGCTGGGAAGTGCCAATGAAAATTTCAAGTTCAACCATTCTTCCCTCAAAGCAATGTTGCTTTGTCTGTGATCCACCTTAAAATGTCAGATTTGTATTCCATTTCCTCATTTTCTCCTTAAGCTGTTGACTCATAATGGGCTACAATGTTATCAGCATCTTTGGCTCTTCAGTATTTCAACTTGATGAGACCAATAAATGCTACCCAATTACTTTTTAATTAGTCTGTTCAGACATGTTATAAAACACCTCTGAGGTGGGGGGGTGGGTGAGGAAGACACTTGAACCTGGACTTCTGTCCAAAGGTATGGAAACTATCGCTGTGCAACAAGACTTTAAATATTGGTATCCTGACATTAATACTGTCTTTATTAGAAATGTCCAACAGGTAACACTAGACAGTAATTGAAAAAAAAACACCTTAAACCATCTATATAATTTTGAAAATGGAGACCAATTGTACACTGGGGGGATGCAGAGAGAGGGAGAGAGACAGACAGACAGGCAGAGAAATGGTTTCAGCCGTTGCAACAGCCCCAGGAAGCTTAACCATCTGATTTTAGGTAATGGCTGTCTATAATGTCAAAAGTTTAAAATGGTGGCCGAGGAAGCACTCTGTCCACACCTGGAAAGTGTTGGAAACGTATTTGAGCTCCCATCCTTAGTCGAATTCAACAGTTCGGGTACACCCACACCAGCAATTTCCTCCACAGACTTCAGCACGTCATCTGTATGCTTCAGGTAAATACTGAAAACATGGTTTAAAAATAAAACAAAAACATGTCATCAGATTATAAATGTTCACCCAACATAGCAATATTTCACATCATACGTCAAATTATTTTATTCCCATCCATACATTTGATAGTAAAGCTGGAAAAGCAAGCAACACACCTGTTGTAGACCTGTTAATGCAACCAACTGAAGGCATCTGATGAAGTGCGACATCAAAGGTTACTGAGGAAAGTAGAAACTCATGGTGTACAGGGTAGCATATCAGTATAGATAGAAGATTGGCTGGCAAACAGGAAGCAGAGGGTAGGTATAAATGGGTCTTTTTCAGGTTGACAGAATGTAATGAGTAGTATGCCACATGGATCAGTGTTAGAACTTCAACTGTTTACATTTTATACAAAGGACTTAGATGAAGGGACCAAATTTATGGTTGCCAAATTTATTGATGACATAAAGATAGATAAGAAAGTAAGCCATCAAGTTTTAACATAAGGACTCTACAAAAAGATGTCGACAGGGGAAGTAAGTGAGCAAAGACCTGGAAAATGAAACTAAATATGAGAAAATGTATGATTTTCCATTTTGGCAGGATGAATAGAAAATATAATCATTTTACCTAAATTGTGAGATTTCAAAAGCTTTGGCATACAAAGGGTTCTGATTGTCCTCTTGCATGAATCACAAAAGTATAGTTTGTAGCTACAGTAAGTAATTAGGAAAGTAAATATGTTACCAATTATTGTGAGGGGAACTGAATACCAGATAGGGAGGTTATGCTTCAGTTATACAGGTCACTCGTGAGACAACGTCTGGAGTACTGTGCATAGTATTGGTCAACTGTGTAAGAATGTTGTGATAGTTGAAAACCAGGACGTTGTGGTTTGGAAAGGAATTTGCAGGTGGTGAGAATCCCACAAATCTGTTGTCCTTGTTCTTTTCAGTGGCTGAGGGTGTGTGATTGGAAGGTACTAAGGAGCCTTGGTGAGTTGCTGCAGTGCATCTTGTGGATTGTTCATAGTATTGTAATTGTGCTTTGGTGGTGAAGAGAATGAATGTTTAAGGTAGTAGATGCGGTTTCAATCATGTTGGCTGTTTATTCTGGATGGTGTCAAGCTTTGGATGCCACTGGTGTTTCACTTATCAAGGTAATGTATTCCATCACATTTCTGACTTGTGGACAGATTTTGGAGAGTCTGGAGGTAAGTTATTTACCACAAAATTTCCAACATTTACTTGCTCTTATCTCCACAATATTTACGTGGTTGGTCCAATTAAGATTCTGGTCAACCCCCAAAACACTGAAAATGATGAACTCAGTCATAGTAATACTGTCAGATGTCAAGAGGAGATGGCAGGATTCTCTCCTGTTGTGAGTAGTCATTGCCGGACACTTATGTGATGCAAATGTTACAACTTTTCAAGGCTAACCTGACCATTGTCTAGATCTTGCTGTAGTTGGACATGGACTGCTTCAGCATCTCAGCTGTCTGAAATGATACTATACATTCCGCAATCATCAGCAAACATCAAAATTTATGGCTTTATGATGGAGGGAAGGTCACTAATTTACTTACCATAGGAGTGTTTCAAGAGCTTCATTGTATTTATTGCCTTTCTCTTTTTCCCCACTGGGCAAAACCCAAGATTGGCACAAGAAGCCTCGTGTAATTGATGCTGAAAGGAGAGTAATCGTTATTTAAGCAGTCACATCAACAAAACAAAATTATCCTTGTCACATACATCATAGAGTTTAAAAAGTAATCATATAGATATAAGGAAACAAAGGCAAGTTCTGATCAGAAGAGACTTCAAAGTACGTTAAGAAGTGTATGTTATGTAAACCACATTGTTAATGTGTATTTAAAACACTATCAGCCTCAAAAACTGCAGGATATACAACAGTCACACAAGAGGAACACAGTTTAGAAGATGAAGAAATGAGAGCATTTTGGCGGTAGTGATCATAACTCTGTTTCTTTCACGATAGTCATGGATAAGGACAGGTACATACGGCAGGGTAAAGTTTATAATTGGGGGAAGGGTAATTACAATTCCATTAGGCAAGAACTGGGTAACATAAATTGGGAACAGATGCTGTCAAGGAAGAGCACCACAGAAATGTGGAGATTGTTTAAGGTATGCATACTGCATGTGCTCGATATGTTTGTCCCTAGCAGGCAGAGAAGATGCAGTCGAGTGAGGGAGCCATGGTTCTCAAAAGAGGTCGAACAACTGGTTAAGAGGAAGAAGGAGGCTTATGTAAGGTTTGGGAAAAGAGGAACAGAAAAGGCTCTAGAGGGATACAAGTTAGCCAGGAAGGAGCTGAAGAAAGAGCTTAGTAGAGCTATAAGGGGGCATGAGAAAACGTTGGCAGATAGGATCAAGGAAAACTTCAAGGCTTTTTATACGTATGTGCAGAACAAGAGAATGACCAGAGAAAGGGTAGGGCCGATCAAGGATTGTAAAAGGAATTTGTGCACAGAGCCTAAAGAGATAGGAGAGGTCCTTAATGAATACTTTTCTTCAGTATTCACAACTGAGAGGGACCTAGTTGTAGAGGAGGACGTTGTGAAACAGGCAGGTAGGCTACAGGAGGTTGATGTTAGTAAAGAAGATGTGCTAGGAACTCTGAGGAAGTTGAAGATAGATAAATCCCCCAGGCCTGATGAGATTTATCCGAGGATTCTATGGGAAGCAAGGGACGAGATCACAGGGCCTTTGGCGATGATCTTTTTGTCCTCACTGTCCACGGGTATAGTGCTGACAGATTGGAAAGAAGCAAACGTCATTCCCTTGTTCAAAAAAGGGAACAGGGATAACCCCGGAAATTACACACCAGTTAGTCTTACGTCAGTGGTCGGCAAATTATTGGAAAGGGCTCTGAGAGATAGGATTTATGATCACTTGGAAAGGCACAGTTTGATTCGTGTAGTCAGCATGGATTTGTGAGGGGTAGATCATGCCTCACAAACCTTATTGAATTCTTTGAAGAGGTGACCAAACACGTGGATGAAGGTGGAGCAGTGCATGTGGTATACATGGATTTAAGTAAGGTGTTTGATAAGGTTCCCCATGGTAGGCTCATGCAGAAGGTAAGGAGGCATGGTATAGTGGGAAATGTGGCAGATTGGATTTAGAATTGGCTGACCCTTAGAAGACAAAGGGTGATAGTGGATGGAAAATATTCAACATGGTGCTCAGTTACGAGTGGTGTACCACAAGGATCTGTTCTGGGTCCTCTTCTATTTGTGATTTTTATAAATGATTTGGATGAAGGAGTGGAAGGGTGGATTAGTAAGTTCGCGGACGATACGAAGGTGGGTCACGTTGTGGACAGTGCGGAGGGCTGTTCTAGGTTACAAAGGGACATTGATAGGATGCACAGCTGGGCTGAGAAGTGGCAGATGGAGTTTAACCCTGAAAAGTGTGAGGTGATTCATTCTGGAAGGACAAACTTGAAAGCAGAATACAGGGTTAACGGAAAGATTCTTGGCAGTGTGGAGGAGCAGAGGGATCTTGGGGTTCATGTTCACAGTTCCCTTAAAGCTGCCACCCAGGTGGATAGAGTTGTTAAGAAGGCGTATGGTGTGTTAGCTTTCATTAATAGAGGGACTGAGTTCAAGAGCCGTGAAGTTATGCTCCACCTATACAAAAGCCTGATTCGGCCACATCTGGAGTATTGTGTCCAGTTCTGGTCACCTCATTACAGGAAAGATGTGGAAGCATTGGAAAAGGTGCAGAGGAGATTTACCAGATGTTGCCTGGAATGGAGGGAAGGTCTTACGAGGAAAGGTTGAGAGAGCTAGGACTTTTCTCTTTAGAACGACAAAGGATGAGAGGTGACTTGATAGAGGTGTACAAAATGATCAGAGGTATAGATAGAGTAGACAGCCAAAGACTTTTTCCTAGGGTGGAGGTAGCTTTTACGAGGGTGCATAGTTTTAAAGTGAGTGAAGGTAGATATCGGGGAGACGTCAGAGGTAGGTTCTTTACTCAGAGAGTGGTAGGGGCGTGGAATGCATTGCCGGAGAGGGTGGTGGAGTCGGCCTCATTAGGGACATTTAAGCGGCTATTAGATAGGCATATGGATGATAGTATAAGGTAGCGGTGGAGGTTAGATAGACCTTAGGTTTCGGGTAAAAGTTCGGCACAACATCGTGGGCCGAAGGGCCTGTACTGTTCTATGTTCTATGTTGTGCATTAATGCTTTGTCCCTGCAAACTGCTTCAAACCCTCAAGATTTCTGTACACTACCAATTCAGGCTTCTTGCGCATCCCTGATTTTAATTGTTCATCAATTGACATTGAGACTGTTTCTGCTTTCTAGGCACTAAACTCCAGAATTCCATCTGTAAACTCATCCATCTCTATTTTCCTGCAAGGGCCTCCTTAAAGCATGATTATTCTGGTGATCTGTCCAAATGCTCCCTCGTGTGGCTTGTGTTAAATTTTGTTAAATAACACTCCAGTGATTAACCTTGGGATGTTTGATTATGTTAAATTTAATTCACTGCTACTGAACTGAGAAATGTTTACATTGCCTATTGCATTATCCCACCAATAACCACGAGAATGTCAAATGGTGGGTTAGTTAATCAGCCATCTGAATGGATTCATAATTTCATAGCAGCATTCGCAGCAAGACTTAACTTCCTGAACTATGAGCTCTGGCTTGAAGCAGGCAAATAGGGTCCTTCTTCCATTG